TCCCGAGTGCTGGGATTGGCCACCACACCTCACCAAAATTACTTTCTCCAAAATTAGTTAATACTAATAATTGGTATTTTTGTCTTAGAATGATTGATCTCTGTCTGTCTCTGTCTGTGTGTGTGCGTGCGTGCGTGTGTGTGTGTGTGTGTGTGTGTGTTTATATCTCTTCCATGACATCTGATCAACAAAGAAGTTATTGTACTAACCAATAACATACTTGTAAAAATCACTAAGTGCTAATTAATGGCTGTGTTTCCTTCCTGTTTCCCATGCTGAGATTTTTAAACATTATTTTTATTCTTCTAGTAACTTTTTTCCCCATGCTGACAACTGAATTCAGGGAGGGCAGAACTCTGTCCCTACGCTACACCTACAGACCTTCCTCAGCCTTCCTTGTGGACTGAGACTCAAGCTGGCCTTATACTCACTGTGCAGCCCAGTCAAACCTTGAACCCACAATGTCCCTAACTCATCTCCATGAAGTGAGGCATCCAATAATTTTTGTTTTTCTTTTGGCTGATAATGATGCTTTAAATGCATTCATGTAAGCATGCAAGAAGTAACTCCTTTAAGTCATATTTTGTTAATCTTAAATTGATGCAGAAATTTTTTAATGGCATGTAACAAAGAACCTGAACTCAGAATGGCATGGTATATGCTATTGGTGTGTTTCATTTTGCTTCCTAAAACTGCAAGGTTATGCCCAAGACTTATATTTGTAGACATTTATACTAGAATTTTGAATATGGAACAATTTAATATATTTATGGTTATTGTTTTCAGATATTATAGAGCTGAACTATTATTATGAAGCAGAAATTTTACTTCTCCCAGGCATCTTCCAATTTTTAATTTAAGCATCATTGTTGCTGAGTTTGGATTCAGCATTAAAAGATGAAAGCCGTGTAGTTTGTTTTCACATTGTAAATCAGGCAAGCTGGCTTTCTCCTCTCTGCCCTGTCACCTTGTTAGTCCCGAGGTGATTTTTTTCTTAAAGGACAAAGATAATGTTCCATTTTCTCTAATCTTTTTTCTCTCTTTTGTAATTTCTACAGTGCTATTTTAATAAGCATACTGGCCCTTTGGCTGGGTTCTGTGATACCACATTTATTTGTATTATGCACTGGTTGTATTTCCAAATTTAAAGCTACAAACACTACAAGCTTTAGAGATCAGTACTGTTTCTCAGTTCACCTCTGACATTTAATACTAATGATGTGCTTTGCAAATCCAAATGAGAGAATATGTTAGACAGTTAGAGAAAAAAATCCAAGAGACCCAGCAGCTGATACATGGGAGACATCATCCTGAAGTTAGAAATAAGGGCTTCTTGTTGAGGATTTATGATAGTAAATAATCCTGGTAAATCCTGAATTCAAGAAAAAAAAATGTTTTCAAGGAGATATTAAAGATGGTATTCCATTTTTTGTTATTTTTCTATAATATAGCTCTCTTCATATGCATGAAATCTTAAAAAAATACACATTAGTATGGGGTGCATTAATATTAATACATTAGCTAGACAAAGAATTGCTCATTTCATATGCTCAGTACATCACATAATTAAAATCTAGAGAACCTTTTATACTAAAGCAAAGGGAGCTATTTGCTGTTCTGTAACACTTTGACAGTGTGTGGGTTTATACAGGGAAATATGTTCCTCCAATAATGGGAAGTTGGCTGCAAATGCTGTTGCTTCCAAGCATTCCACACATGACTTCTCAGAGAGGACACTGGGCTCAGATGGGAGGATGGTCTTCCCCCTAAGTAAATGGATGCTTGCACAGGACTACACAACTATAATCTGTGTTGGCTGAAAGTTGGGACAAACGTTTTTAAGACACTATTTTTATGGATTCTTAATATTCCTTATGTTTCTCTCTGTAACAGCGTCTGAACATTCATGCCAGGGCTGCTGGAATGCAAAAGCTGCTTTCATACAGATCACCTAAGCTCAACCATTATCTGTAAAGTCTAAATAAAAAAAAAAAAAAAATTGAGCTGCCTTAACTGAGGATGCAATAGCTTCTGGTTCAGCTTTGTGTTGGTACCACTGTCAAGAGAAAGTTTCCATGGCAAGCATGTAATTTTTTGCCCAGCTAGCATGGGGGAAAAACATAAACATAACTAAGAAGTGACACCGGAAGGTTGCGTCTTACGTTAACTATAAAAGAAAACTATAAGTCAGCCGTCAATTGAGCATTCATAAAACCATCATCCTGAAACTATAAGTAGATGATAACCGTGTAGCTGTAAAATAGGGGAAAGAAAGCTCTAAGCTGTAGTGAGTTGCACTGCATATATCGGAAGTCAAGAGGAATGTAGTATGCTAGTGTCATACAGTAAGAAGACATAGAAATAAATGCTTGTAGTGGAAGCTAAATCCAGACCTAATAAAAGTAATTATCTTTGGAATGGGGGAAGAACTCAGGACCTGGGATAGGAAAAGCAATCTAAGTCTCTGAATGGTCATGTCTTAAATTTTAACCTAGAGCTCCACCACAGTATGAAAACAGATGTTAATCACAAAACAAGACTAAAAATCAAAAACTTACGAAAATAAATAACCCTATTTAACTCATAGATCAATTAAATAGAGAAGTATTTCAAGTGACTTTAGAGCAGTGGTTGTCAACCTTCCTTCAGCTGTGACCCTTTTCCACAAATTCTTCATGTGTGCTGACCCCTAACCTATTTTGTTGCTACTTTATAGTATATTTTGCTACTGTTATGAATTGCAATGTAAATATGTGATGTGCAGAACATTTGATATGCGATCCAAGAATTCAAAAATGTATTAATACCTGTGCTTTGTAGTAATTGTTGCCATTTTATTTTTTATTCTAATGCATACCTCAGAGGAGAGTGAGTACTTTTGACAGCATTGTTAATGCTGAACATTTTAGCATATGAGAAGATGCTTGGCTATAAAATCACTTAAATCGCAATTGCTAATTTAATTTATATTTGTCAGCATGGATTCATATTAGAATTTATCTCTTAGGATGTCTTTTCTTCCCAGCACATTAAAAAACTGAAAAGCAATGGCAGTTCAGCAATGATGAACAGTTCAAATTCCCAGATCATTGACTCTGCTGTCTTCTCCTGCTGGCAGGAGTCTGGACTTTGTAGCAAGCAAAGTGCATGCATAGTTTCACCTGAGGGACAGGAACTGTATCAGATAAGCCTCCAACATCTTAGCATGCCTTCACTACTAGGGACTCACACAATAGGGCAAGCTACCCAGAATTGAAGCAATTTGAGCATCAAAATAAAAGAAAGCACTTGCCATGGATTAAAACTATTTACATATTATTGTGAGCTAATAATAGCATCTTGGTCACCTTTAGACCAAAAATACTAAATAAGGAAAAGAAACCAGGGCCAGTGAGATGGCTCTGTGCATAAGAGTGCTTACCACACAAACCTGGTGACCCAGTTCATTCTCTCAGTCCCACAGTGGAAGGAGAAAACCAACTCCCAGGAGTTGTACTCTGGCCTCCACATACGTGCCGTGGTACACATATGTGTTCCTGCACTCACACCCATAATTTTAGAGAGGAAATACTTTTATGACCCCACGATAGAGGCTGTTTTTCAGTCACCAACAGCTAAGGAGAGAATGTTCCCCAGGGTAAAACAATCAGAACTAGTGAATACAAGAAAAATTACTATTTTATAGCTTCTAGTGAAATAATTTATTTAAGATGCAAACATTGATGTTACTACAAGTATTAATTGAAAGATTGATGAATAAGAACTTTACAATGGAAAGATCAGAATGACTCATTACCTTGGACCCATTGATCAGTCTGAACATCACAACAGGCTGTCAAAGGGCTTCCTGATTTAATTTAACAAAAATTACACGACAGTGCCAATCATAAGTTTTGAAGGTTTATTTATTTATTTTTATCTTATGTGTATTTGTGTCTGCATGTATGTCTGTGTACCACATGCATGCCTGATGCATGCAAGAGCCAGAAGAGTACCTCAGATCCCCTGGAACTGGTATTATGGGTGTTTGTGAGCTGCCAGGTTGGTACTGGGAACTGAACCCAGGACATTTGCAAGAACCTGAGACATCTCTCCAAATGTCAAATAATATATTTTTGATCAAAATTAATTAAATGGTAATGGAGTCAGGTCTCTGTACTGATCTGCACAAATAATGGATGATAGAAGAACATATTGGATAACATCAAGAGGTTAAATCCAGACAGATCCAGAAGGCAGAGAACTATGAAATAAGTAATTCACTTTCCTCAATAAATAAGTGACAATGAAAGGGAGGGGTGTTAGGCTCTTTGGACAGAGCCTGAAAATCCCTACCATCAAGCAGGTGTAATGTGAATACTTGTTTATATCTTGTCCAAATAAACCTACTGCAGGAAGACATCTTTTAAACCAGTGAAAATTAAATGTGGAGCATGCAGATTATATTTAATTAGTGGTAATTTGAGTCCTGACAAACAGTGTTATGATAACATCATCATTATTGGTGTCAAGCCTTAATCTGTTAAAGGTGAGCTTTAAAATATTTGGGGGAACAGTACATGGTCTGAAGTTTTTTGTTATTTTTCATACTATGTATGCCCTCCCTCTTGGATTTGTTTCTACATATTCCAGGTCTCCATCCCAAAATGTATTGAGAATGAGAGTCAGTAGACTAACAATAACAAAATGTTGGTGATTTTAAAAATTGGGTGATGGTTATGGTTGAATATATTGTCCTCTCATGCCTTTTTGTGTATTTCCATAATAAAATGTTTGTAGAGGAAAAGGCCTTCCCACAAAATTGCTTAGATTACCAATAATCATAATAGCAATGCTTCCTCAGTAAATTTTAGATTTTAGATGGGAGTCTTAGTTTCTAGTCATATTTTATTTTTGAAATCCAAGGGGAAAATACTTCCTGTAGCTTAATTTAATTTAAAAGAAAGAACCGAGCATGAGTATAATGAACAAGCTTGTTCACTAACACTGTTCTTTTTCAGACCAAGCCACCCTGGTAGAACAAGTGAAAAGGGTAAAAGAAATTGAAGCCATCGAAAGTGATTCTTTTATTCAGCAGACATTCAGATCAAGTAAAGAAGTCAAAACAGTAAGTTTCCACAAGAACATAATGCGTAAGTCTTTGGGTTCCCACTGAAGAGAGGCTTTATTAATGGATTTCTTAGATGTGAGTGCTTCCTCCAATTGGCAGATGAATGAGGGAGAGAATGTCTGTGGTGATATCTTGCTTGTACAAATAAAGCTTGTCTGAAGATCAGAGGATGGAGCTTGCTACTAGCTAATGGTAGAGGTCTGGAGGTTCATGCAGACAGAGCAGAAGTGAGATGAGTGGGAGGAAACAGGAAGTGAGATGGCTGGGCAGAGAGAGGATATAAGTGGGAAGAAACTGAAACTCCTTTTCTGCTGGGAAGTGAATGAGGTAAAGGTGGTTTTGGCTTACCCCTTCTCTCTGTTCTCTCAGCATTTCCCTCTATATCTGACTCCAGGTTTTCATTATTTAGACCAATTAGAACTCCAAATGTCAGTCATGCTGGTGAGAGAAGGAGTCAATGAGAATCAGCCCAACCTACTTATATAAAATCTGTAAACATGGATCTGGCACCATTTTTATTTTAGTGTTTATCAAAAAAACTAAGATGTCACTATGATTCTGTAGCTGTAATGTCCATTACATTAATATAAACATGCTTGTTTGCTGGAGTATGGAAGGTTGTTTTCTGGAGAGGAAGTTTGGGGGTGGTTTAAGACTGTTTCTCTGTAGCTTTGGTGCCTATCCTAGAACTCACAGAGATCCCCCTGTGTCTGCCCCCCAAGTGCTGGGATTAAAGGCATGTAGCACCACTGCCCTGTGTTTGGTTTTTGTTTTTTTGTTTTTGTTTTTGTTGTTGTTGTTGTTATTGTTGTTTGGGTTTTGTGTTTTTTGTTTTTTGTTTGTTTTTTGTTTTTTTACAAATGTCTGTGTGCCCTTTTTGAATTGTTATTCCTAGGTAGATATTGGGAAATGACTTTAAATGATAAAGCTGTTACTCAAATAGAAGACTCTGTCTTTGGTCTTTGCCGAGATGTGTGTCATTTATTCAACTTCAGTAAAAAGTTTTGAATGCATTTCATTTCTGTTGAATTTTTCACTTATTCTTTCACTTGTTAATAATACTGCTCCTAAGAATTTGTATACCTTTAGTAGGAACAGATGACATAAGAAATGCATGTGTCTTTTTGTAGCAGATATATAGTGAAGTAATAGCTGGCTGCAGTTTCCACTTCAAAGTCTTCTACTACATTGCACTTCTAAAGTGAAAATGTAGTAAGACTGTTTAACATAATAATGATAGATGTAATAATCATTTATTTTTTCTTGATAGCAGATTTCTAAGTAGTTATGTTTTGGAATATTACATGTTTTTAATAAGATGAAGTTACTTGTTCAAGTTTACATTATTTAATGTTTCAAAGGTTACCCTCTAAAAATATTGTAGCAATCTAAATTATGCCCAAAAGTACAAGGAGCTTTCTGTCTTTTAAACAAAATCTTCTTCACGTTTATTAACCTGACATGCAAAGACATGAGTTGAGTGTATGATGTATGTCAGGTACAGGACTAGATACCTTTGGATAACCCATAGCCCTGGGTTGTTACTGTGTTTACTGCATTTGAACTTTTAGAAGTGCATCATCACAATTCCTAGAAATTACAGCTATGAAATGGGCATTAGATATACATATATGGCCATTCTGTTCAATATCTTAATCTTGCATAGTATAAATACGTTTGCCTAAAAGAATATATTTATTTGAAGGTTTAGCCCTGTATATATTTTCTGAAATTCATTGTGGATTCTCAAATCTTATTGGATATTCTTACAATCAATGAGCAAGTTTTCCTGTAAAAAATACTCATCTAGAGTCTGTGGACTGGGTTTTGTCCTGTGACTCTTTCCTATCTGGTTTCCCTTTATAGTTACTTTTAATTCATGTTTTCCTTCAAGAAAGCAAACCTGGTAAGGATTAGTATTAACAGAGGCCATGCTGGAGCCTAAGGAGATGGCATTCCCCCATGAATACACTGTAGAGTTGTAGCCATCTAGCACATGACTGTTATTAGGAACTACACTCTGAGATACTCAGAGGAGCAATGATGGGCTAACAAGAATAAATTTATACTCCACTGAAACATAAAATGAGGGACAATTTATTAGCTTAGAAAGTGGCATCGCTTTCTAGTCTGAAATGTCTGTGTCTGCAGTAGAGGGCCAGGATTCAGGATGCCTAAGAAGATGAATTATTTATGAGGAGATTACTTAGCAAAGAGAAGTAAATTATCCTGAGTACTATTTCATCCAGGTCCTGGGGAGACATGATGGGCTATCCTTGCTGCATAGCAAAGATTAATTCTCTTGGGGACTAAATCACCCAGGACCCAAGTTTCCACATCTGTCTCTTCTGGACAGTTTGTGCTCTTACAAAGTTTGCCTCTAAAAAAGGCTATCCATGCTAGCATCCCTCTCAATTGGTGTCGATTTCCTTAGGAGTTAAGTCCACTAATTAAGGCAGAGAACTGTCACCAGGAAGAAATGTCTATTAGCAATAACATTCAAGACACTGTGGCTATCTTACAATACATACTTATTTTCCTAGTTTAACTCTGAAACCTTACCCAAGTACTTAGGGAATGTGATAGATCCTTGATATATCATTAACTTTAGATACCAAGATATAGCTTGTTTTCAGAGTGTGTTCCACATAGACTTGTTACCAATTATTTAGCGTTAAGACTGGTGTGTTTGACAGATAATCCTCCAGTGTTCAAAAGGAGAGTAAATAACCCTATATCACATGGGCATTTGTGTTAACTTGGAAGATTAGGAAAGTATTTTGCAAGTATACCACCAGGTGGCAGAATTGCACAAAGTCAGTCCTTCTGGTTTTGGTTTTTTTTTTGTTTGTTTGTTTGTTTGTTTGTTTTTGGTTTGTTTGTTTTGTTTTGTTTTGTTTTTTCTGTTGAGCCACAATTTTCTTCTGTCACTTAACTAAGGAGCAACTACTGATTTTACAACCATGTTCAACCATTCTACAACTCCCATGCTCCAATCCTAACTTTATTGATAGTTTTAATTTACATGTATATTTATACTTTTTTTAAATGTTGCAGCTGAAGAAATGACTTGAAGCACAAGAGCTCTTGCAAACGCAAGCATGAAGATAAGTGTTTAGATCCCAGCACACAGAGGGGGGAATACCAAAAATAAATAAATAAATAAGCCAAGTGTGACCACACGTATGCTGTGGGGCAGAAATAGGAGTGTCACTGGGTCCTCCTGGCAGCCAGCCTAGCTCCAGAATCAGTGAGAGACCCTGTCTCAACGGAATAAGGCGTAGAGTGATAGAGCAGGACTCTATGTTCGCACCCAGCTTCCACGCATATATACTGGCACACATGCTGGAACACACACAATGGTTAACACGGATAGGAAAAATCAGCATGAGATTTATTGACCTCTATAATAAGAATGTTATCTCTGAAGAGAGAAAATCCACAGCTTCACCGCATCTTTTCAAGGCAGTTCAACGTGTGGTCAGCATCTCCTGCCAAAGTACTGTGGGAACATACTGGGGTACAAAGTTTTTATGAGGAAACATGGACTACCAAAAATTGATTTATTGAGTCTTATTTAATTCCCTGTGCAGAATATTGGGCTTGCCTTTAACACAATTTCATAAAATGTGTATCGTAACTTTATTTCTAGGGCCATGTACCTTCTAGGCCCAGTAGATCAGAGATATACAAATATTTGAAATCTGGATAGCATGGTAGGGGGGTGAAATGACTATAAAATATAAGAAAACACCAAATAAAATTTAATAAATATTTCTCTTTAATGCCTATATATAAAAGTTAATGTTGTGGTTCACATGAATGTCATTAATTATTTGGTTTAGTGTTCCAAAAGGATACCTTCATTTGGAAACAATTTGTAGCATAGATTTCTCTAGTTTGTAATCATTTCTGCTCTTGTTTGATGACTTCCCAGAAATATAGCCTTCAGGGACATTTTGTTTATAAAAGAATAAAAGTCATTTATGCATACAGACCAACTTTCTTTAGCATGAAAATGAATTCATGCTTGAATCAAATAAATGCTAAAACAATGAATGAATCTTACCATTATGCATTAGTTCTTATTGGATGGTTGAGTACATCAAGATGAAGGGATGGTTAAGTGCATCAGGATGAAGGGATGGATGGTTAAGTGCATCAGGATGAAGGAATGGTTGAGTACATTGAGATGAAGGGATGGTTGAATACATCAGGTGCTTGTCATGTAAGTATGAGTACCTGGGTTCCATCTCCAGAACCTCATATAAAAGTGTAGTGATGTGCTTGTAATCCCAGCACTGGGGGAGGCAGAGACAGGTAGGGTCCCTTCCATCATTGACCACCAGGCTTAGCCTGTTTGGTGAGCACCAGGCCTGTCAAGAGACCCTTTATCAAGAAACATCTGGGAAACAGCACCAAGTGTTGCACTTTAGCTTTAACATGCATGCACATACATGTAGGAACTGGCTACTGACCACCATATAAGGACTTTCCCTTCTACCAAAACAGTTACAGAACTAGAAAAGATGTATGGAGCAGTTTTCAGGTTTCTGACATTAGGTAGCACAAAAGTAAACCTTATGATGAGTGAAGCAAAGTATGATTCTCCCAGTTCCTGGCCCTTCTGCCTGGAACCAGTTTCCTGCACTGGTGCTGAGTAGAGGTGTGGCTGGGTTTAGCAAGCAGCCATCAAGGGTGTAACTGTACACTATCGACTCTGGCCTCCCTGCTGATGTTTCTTCTTTCAAGTTGTACACACTGCTCCCTATGACTAAAGCATTCTCTTCTTTTCTCTCCATATGTCTAGCTGTTCATATTCTTCAGGTCTTAAATTTACCTCCTAAATAAAAAATAATGTGCCTAGGCATCGGATTGAAACTAGACTCACCTCTCCAGTCCCCTTCATTCTTATTTATTTCTTGCTGGAGTATACTATTATTAATCATTATGCATTTATTTTTATATATGTGTTTATAATCTGTTCATTCAGTCAACAACGAAACTCACCAGCCCTTTTCTAGTTTATTCTCCCTTTGTATCTGGGACTTACCAAGCAGTGTGTAAATTTTCACTTCAGATTCTTATCCAATTCATTTCATATAATCCCCAAAACCTTACTGCTTATCAGTCACTCCTCAGGCCACCTCCTCTGTCAGGGAAAATTGAAGTTTACCTGAATCAGTACATGCCACTTATTCCTCAAAGGAACAATGATTTCTCAGTCTTTGTGTTCCCAGCACTTACAACAATGTGTGGGCAGCCATGGCATGTCATTTGCAAAAAAACACTGCATGTAGTTTGCAAAAAAAGTGACATATTTAGTTTTATTCTTATATAATGTGATGTTCCTTTTTTAAAACATTTATTTCAAGATATTTAAGTAATCTTAAAGATACCCTATAAGGCCAGCAATAGATGATGCACAAATCAATGTGTGCAGATCCATACAATGGAATATTTTTTAGCAACTACAAAAAATAAAGTACTGGTATACTATAACATGTGTGATTCTTTAAAATACTAGGCTCAATGAAAGAACCAGCCACAGAAAACCACTTAGTGCATGCATCCTTTACACAGAGTGTCCAGAAAACTAGAATATCCAGAATAAAAAAAGCTGTCATCGAGAGGTTGAAAGAAATAAGGAGTGATTACTAAGAGACATGGAATGTTGGAAGAAATAATGAAGATATTATAAAGTACATCGTGATAACTGTTTTATAATTTTGCAAATATGCTAAAACCCATAGTATGCTATGTAAATTATAGCTAGCAGAGATAGATATGCATTTTAAGGTTAACTTTTGGATTTGTCTTTATACCTGAGGCCAACCAAATATTAGAGGTATATTGTAATGTTTTTATTATTATAATTTAGACACCAAATATGTGTATATGCATGTGTATGTGTGTCTGCATGTGAGTATATTTCAATTGTATAAGTCTATACACTGATTTCCTAAGAAAAGCACACTGGTCATAGGAAATGAAAAAAAATTCCCTCCACACTTGTATTTGTATTTTTGAGTAACAATTTTTTCCTCATTCAGGAATGTGGAACCTTTTGAGATGAACATCATCTCAGAGGAGACTTACTACAGAGCAATTATTGTTCAATATTAGATGTCATGAAACCCAACTTCTAAATGTGTATCATGCTTAGATTTCTGTGCTGCATTTTCAGTCTGTAGAACCATGTGAAGTGAAGCATGCGACTCCAGCATCAGGACCAACATCAGTAGCTGCTGACCCGCCCAGCACTGGAAAGGAAATAGACCCTGACAGCATCCCCACGGCTATCAAGTACCAAGATGACAATTCTCTAGCACATCCAAATGTGAGACCCTTAAACCTGATGAATCTGCTCACTGAGTCACCCAAGCAGTCATCACTTTGTTCTGACACTAGAAAGACATGCAGGAAAGGGTTCATGGCTTCTCTTTGCTACAAATGGGCAGCTGCTCAGGCCTTAGGATTGTTTACGTATATTTGAGTCTGGTGTTGTCTACAGAACAATTCTATACTTAAGAAAAATGGTCAAAAAGGAAAATGGTTTTCCTTTGTTTAACTGACAATAGAAGTTCTAATGCTAGCTCAGTTCTAGTTTTTCAGCTGTGAAATATCACTAACATCATACTTTCCTGTCTTTACACACTGATAATGTCTTTACACACATGTCCTCAGGAACATGGTAAGAAATAAACTCACAAACATAGGTTGTGAAACAGCCAGCCAGTGAATCCACTATTGCTGAGTGCTAACTCACAGTGGATGGGTTAAGCAGTGACATGGCCCTCAAGGGTTAAGCAGTATACACTGCTATTCCGGGAGTCTTCATTCTATCAGAATGATTTGTGTTATGTAACATCAGTTCTGAGCTACTGACACACAGTAACGTTCCTTCTCCTTTCTTTTACTGTAGTTATTTATTGAAAAAGCTGAAGCTGAAGAAAAGTGGTTCAAGAGATTAATTGCCCTCCGTCAAGAAAGATTAATGGGCAGTCCTGTGGCTTGAGGAAGAGACTTATGGTTGAAATGACAGAAGTCTTGAAAATTGTGGTTTTTAAATACAAATATTAACTTTTACTCAAAATAATTTAGCCAATTACATAGAAAGAAAATCTCATTTCTTCCCTCGTGTTCAACTGAATATTTGTTGACTCAAATCAAACATTGTGAATAGTGAATCTATTATAAAAGGTATGAGTGCATGAACATTATCCTGTTAATAAAGCTAATCACAAAAATGTCATTGATGAAGTAAATAAATATTCAGTAGTGTTTCTCATTATGGTTTTTACAAAGTTATGTTTTTCACCCTTTTATGAAATCTAAGCAATGACCATGTCAGATTTGAAGGCAACATTTTCTGCTAAAACTTCTCTTGGGCCAAGTGTAATGTCAACCCTCTAATCCTAGTCCTCTAGAGGCTTAGGCAGGAGGATCTCAACTCCAGTCTACAATACACAGCAAATGTTGAGACATCTTGAACTACATGGTGAAGCCTTGTCTGAAAATATTTTAATTAGAAATCAATTTGTGCTCTTTTGAAACCAGTTTTGAAGTCAGTTAAACAAAGGAAAACCAGTCCTTTTCTTTGGAAATCACATGCCCATTATATTAGTCACTTTCCATTGCTGTGACCGAAAGGCCTGGCATAACTTCAGAGGAAAGGCTTTCGTCTATGGCTTGAGAAGATTCAGCCCATGGTCAGCTGGTTCCACTGCTTTCAGATCTATGGCAGGCAGAAATACAGCAAGAGGGCAAGGCACAGGAAAGCCTCCCTATTGGATGTCAGGAAGCAAAGAGACAGGAAGGAGCTAAGGTCACATTGTACCCTACCTTGGGAGATACACTCCACTCACCTGCTCCTAGTGTGCTCCCTCCCTCCTGGCCACCCATTAAGCTGTGGGCTTAAGCATTAATCCATTGACAAAGTTATAACTCATATGATTCAGTAACTCCCCCAGTAACACCACCAGTGGGGATCCAATCCTTAAACATTTCAGCCTTGGGAAGACACTTCATATCCAAACCTTAACAACTGTGCTAGACCTATTTGATTAACCAGATACCTATGATGAAAAACCATTTCTGAGAAATAAGAGCTCTCACACCATTCTTGCTTAGCCAGTTTCTGTTCCCTCCTGAGGAAGCATCATGTGCTGTGTGTAGAATTCCTTTCTCTAGTGGTTGAGCAACAGAACTCACTACAAGCCATAGCAAATAGACTAGAGAAAAGACTTGGGTCCTTGCTGTACAAAATTGGATTTCAACCCCTGGCACAAATACTTCCTTATTCTATTTTTCTCTGCTTACTTTCAAAGGTCTCTATGAGAACTAGAGCTTAAGACAGTTATGGAAACTCCTTGAGATTTACATAGGACATTTTGATTCCATCTTTTTCATACTGTAGTACTACAGAAATTCTTGGCTCTGTTAAAAAAATGAAAAAGTTGAAGTATTTACACTCAGTTGCAAGTGTTGTGCAGAACTTTGTTTTAAATGCTTGCTTTTATGAATACATTTCCTTTTTTATGAAAACATTTTAGTAGAGGCTGTCTCCCTCAGCTCTATAATTAAACATGGCCAGTATGAAGTCAGTTCTGTGTAGTTGTTGATGCAGATACACGGATATACAGTAGTGGTTTCAGAATGGATTAATGTTTCTGAAATATTTTGCTTTTTAGTTCTTTGTATAATATGTAAACTGTAACTATATTCTCACCCTCTTAGGAAATATATGTCTATGAAAGGATATAGGTTTTCAATTGGCCATAGGGAGTCTCAATATGCTTGAGTCTCCCCATCTGTACATCAATGAAGATACTATGACCTACTTTATAATATACCTTCCATTCATATTCCTTGATAACAGATATACCAAAAACAGATGCTTGAATTAGAATGAGTTTGTATTTTAAAGATAAATGCTTTGTGGAAAGAAAATCAAGTTGAAGTTTGTTGTTTTCAGTGAACAAATAAACTTGGTCCTAAAGAACTCAGTGAATACCTCCTCCCTTCACTTTGGTATGTCATTAATTTCATTTCCTTCTAAAACTACAATATGACCACAGAAGCCAAATCAGATTTAATGAAGAGACTTCATAGGACATTTCAAAAGCATTTCCAGACTCAAGCTGGATGATGCAGCCTGGCCATCTTTAATATCCCAAGATAATAAGCTTGTAAAACACAACAATCCTTTTCATGTTACTTGATTAATGATAATAATTTGCCTTATATGTGACCTTAAGTGCATTGAAAAAGGATTCCTAGCAAATGATGGGCGCTAATGCATGTTAGGTGTTTATTCCCTGCACTAGGTACATTGTTAGAAAGAATAGACTAAGAACAATGTTTCTGGCACTCACTGTTGATGAGAAGGCCCAAATGATGAGGGGACAGAGTATTTTAGGTCATTTACCTACTTGGCTTGAGCATCCTCTCTAGCATGTAAAGTGAGGATATTAATAAATGACCTTCCTGCTTTGATGTGGTTTGGTTTTGTTTTGTTTTGTGGAAGGAATAGCATTAAAAATGTTCATAGAAAAGTACTTTACTTAGCCCAAGTGAACATTTTGGCTTGGGGAGCATTTTTGAAATACAGAATAAGCAGTTGCATGGGTAATAGTTTAAAAGCTGTCCTCCGGCTGATGTGTGTTTCTTTGTACTTGGATCTGTTCTTGGTTCTGTTCTGTCAAAAGGAATCCAGAACTTCTTCATGATCATATTTACCAATTTATTTGTGAATATTATTTTGAGTGCTTAGTTTATTCTCGGTACACTATAGGGACCTTTAAACATACACAAGGTGTGTCAGTGAGGTTTAGCTACAAAGCCCAGACATGGAAATAATATAAGAAATCTAACACAGGAGAGAAGACTGAGTTACGAAAAAAAAAGAAAGAAATTAGTCTGAATGAAAACAGTTCAAGATGGCGCCTCCAGCTCACAGCTGCTGTTTATCCCTCCCAAAAATGACTTTGGGAGACTGGAAGCTTCCCCAATTCTTTTGCCAGTGGTTAGTTCTTTCCCAAAGTTTTTGGTTTGGACATCAATCAAAAATGTTTTGGTGAAATGACCAGATAACTATTAAATACTATCCTAACAAAACTTATTCTTGGACTCACTTGTGGGAAATCCTGTTCTCTTTCTTTATAACAAGCCTACTCAAGGCTTTACAAGAGATCAAGAATAAACCATAGGTAAAGAATACTGTGGGTTGGGCATTATCTTAACCTTTGCCATGAAGATGGACTTTTAATATTTATGCTCCAATTTGTGGCAGTTTTTTTTTCCTAAACCAAATAAAATGTCCAGACATAATATATTTCAAAACTGCTTTTGCTATCATTTTACCCCAGAATTTGACCCAATGTTTGACACAGGGATCACAACTGTTTTTTGTTTGTTTTGTTTTGTTTTTGTTTTTTGTTTTAATTATGAAAAATCCCCATTCTTTTTTCTTGTATTATACATTTTTTTATTTTTATTATTTTACATATCGATCCCAGTTCCCCCTCCCTCCCTCTCTTCCTCCCATGTCCCCCCCACTCCCATCCCATCCCCCTCCACTCCACAGGGAGGGTGATGCCTTCCAGGAGGGATCATCAAAATCTGTCAAGTCATGCGCCTCTAGGTTAAGGGAGTATCCCTCCATGGGGAATGTGCTCCCAAAGTCCTTTTCCTGCACTGAAAGACCAACAGAGCGTGGACCTTCACGCTCCCATTCAGAAAAGGTGACACCCTAAATCACTCACGAGAAGCGGTCTTGATGCAAACTGCATGAGGTCTGGTTTATCCCAAGTGCACTGGGATCCAGTCATACACCATGCAGGGGTGGAGGACTGAGGACCCTGAGTACAGAATTGAGACAGCTGTTATGGGTTTACAACAAAGCCCGCACATCCTAAACCAATCATCTCATAGCATCCAGAGCCTGCACGGTGCGGACCAATCAATTTAAACCATCCAAGCCCACGCTTTATAGACCAATCAGTTTTCTATAGCCCTGGAGGTCTGCATTTGTGTGGACTCCTAGGTGGGGTAACAAATTGCAGTTAGGTTAGGTCACTGGGGCGGTGGTTTCACAAGCAGTTTACAAAGTCAGATAAGCAACAAGGAGTGTGACCTTTCACTTATTTACTGGTTGAGGACAGGGTCTGGAATTTAAGGTATTTAGTATTTTTAAACTTCTTGCTTCCTGGGGTCATTGGAGAGTTAGGCTGTATTTTTCCATCCTTACAGCACCAGGGATACATCGTGGTCCCAATATTAGAGGCCCCTTATACTGCCCAGGCTTTTTAACTGAGACCTATGTTCATGGGGTCTGAGTTGGTATAATGCTGGTTTCCAAACTATCAGTCTGGGGATCCATGAGCTCCCCCTTGTTCAGGTCTAGTACTCTGACCCACACACCACCCCACCCAGAACCTGTCCTCCCTGTTGGGAGCCGTCTTTGGGGGCCTGCAATCAGAGCCAGTCCAGCGGCCCCAAGTGCATACCTGAGTGGGGGAGTGTGGATAAGGGAAAGGCTAGCTATAGATAATAAAGAAAGACAGAGACAGAATAAAGATCAGGAGGGCAGATCAGTCAATACTAAAATGACGCGAGTTTATTTTTTTGCCACTCTTATATACCATAACCAAAATGTGTAACACAGTACCATGTATATGGAACAGACTTTTTTCTTCCTCATTCCAAGGGTTCAGTAACCACACCTTAGCTCTAACTTCTTGTTCCCTAGCCTTGAGGTCAGGAGTAGCCATACCTTAGATTCAACTTCTCCTTCCTTAGCCTTGACAGCCAGGAGTAGCCGCACCTCAGATTCAGGTCTGTTGTTATTTAGACTAAGATGGCAAGCCGAAACATTCTTCTTTAGCCATACCTTTGACCTTTAAGTCTTGTGACTTGCTGACAGCTTTGAACTCTGCCCTTGTGCCAAGATGGAGTGCAGCCATCTTTATGGGCTGCACAAAAATTTCCCATTTCAAATAGCAAATCTTATTAGCTGTCTGTTTATTTATACTGTTCGATTGGGGACAGGGTATTTATGTTCATTTCTTATTGCTGGGATAAAAATCCCTAAGGAAAGCAGCTTATAGGATGGAAATTTTTCTATTTCTTCTAGGTATGAAGGTTTCAGTCCATCATGACAGCAGAACATGGCAAAATAAATTATATGGTAGTTAGCAGGAAGCGCAGTGTATGCCTGGCACTAGCAAGGTGTTTTCTTTCCTCACCTTATAGGACAGTGACTCTCAATCTTCCTAATGAAGATTTGTG